GGTACATTGTTTTGTAGTCGTTTCGGGCTTTGCCCCTCTTCAGTCAACTGTATTTTCTCTTCCTGTCTGTGATCTTGGTGTTGGCTTCTTTGCATTTTTGTTTGATGAGTCTTGCCGTTTCTAGTTTCTGTAAATTTGTTGATTTGTTTTTTGAAACCGTGTCCTGTTTTATATTTGTGGCGTAGTAAACACTAGTATTGTGTTTTATTCCAAAGACACATGGCAAATTTTCCATCAAATTCCTTTATTAGTTGAGTCAATTTGATGGAAAATTTGCCATGTGTCTTTGGAATAAAACACAATACTAGTGTTTACTATGCCACAATTAAAACAGGACATGGTTTCAAAAAACAAATTTACTTTATTTTTTAAATGAATGAAAATTGTAATCATATATAAGTTTTATTTATTTAATAATTTATTTTTTTCAGAACTGTTAGGTGACATTCCTGATCCAGATAATTTCCTCCGAGAAACTTTACAAGATAATACCAGTCATTAAATATTTAGCAAAATAAATTCAATCCTTTTGTGCTTTAATGCCAATTTATGATAAATTGTAATTTTTGTTTAAATTAAAGTTGTGTGTGAGCAATTAATATATTGTTTTTATTCCAAGAATGTTATAGGTCATAATAATTATTTTTTATTAGGTAAAATTCGATAATACTCATCGCACACTTTATATAAGTAACTTATAAACTAATAATGCCAATATTCAAATTAAATAAAATTATTGGTGACATTGTCACTGCTTGGCTTCAATTTCTAATCATTTAAAAATTCAAAATATATGCTCTCCACCTCAAATTAGTGTCTTGCCCCTGTACATCATATTTTTCTGTTAGTAATAGTCATGCAGGTCATCTATAACACATTTTGGGGGGAATTTTTAAATTGAAATAACATGACTTCTGGGTTGCATCAGAAGTTTGTATGTATGAGTAGTTAATCAGGGCCTCCTGCTCCTAAGGTTTCCATATCTGGTCTCGTCTTTCATCTATCTAACTCCATTCTCAAGATTAAGGACAGACAGACAACAGTGGAAATTTATACGTCTACAATTTTTTCAAATTGCAGCCCAAAAAAATAACACTATTTGAGATATTTGAATTCTATTTCAAGAATAATTGAAGTCATAGCCAGCTATTGTAAATAATTACTCATTCTTGGCAGTAGTTTTTATTGTTTTCTACATGACAAGTTTGTTTGCTTTTAAGTAACTAGAGGCAATATAATCCATTTATTAGGAGAGAAATAATACACAAATATGAACAGCCGGATGGCTGAGCAGTCAGGTGAGAGCCTGCCGCTCTGGGGGACCCGGATCGAATTCGGACGGGTCAAAAAATTCCCAGGAATTTTTTGGGAGGTGGTCCGTCTGGATACGTCAAGCCCCATCCCTCACCACCTGGCAGCCCCATTGTGGGCCTGGTCAAACCCATAATGGACTTGCTGAAGGAGGCCCTTTTAGTGCCCACAGGGTGGAAAGAGTTTTAAAAAAAATTCAAATATGCAACATTGCAACATTTCCTAGTAAAATAATTAATTTTACATTTACAAAATAGATTCGATACTTATTGTACTTTATAACTTATTATTACTGTCTGCTCTGTCCCATATGGATCAGTCCAATGTTTAAGTTACTCAAAAAGTTTTTTTTGGTGTTGTAAGTGTTCTGTTTTATCTCTTTTATTAATTAATGTATCACCTAGATCAGTTATTAGCTACCTGTGTCCTGCAAACAGCCCTCAAGGTACTAATTTGCAGCCTCTGTGGCTTTGTCAACAAAATTCTGCCTTATGCCATTATGCACCTCTAATTTTGTTGATATTGATGATGACAAACATTGAAACTAAACTTAACTACTGAAAAGATAAGAATAAAGAACATCATATTAGTTTGCATACCATTAACATATGTTATTTTATTATCTAGTGTACTGGATGTTATCAAATATGTGGTCTTCAGCAGGCACAAAGCCTACAACTTTAAGAAAAATATTTGCGATCTGCTGGAAGTCTAAGAGTTCACTTGCAATCTGCATCCAGAAAAGGTTGCTTAACACTGATCTAGTCAGGTGGATCCTTCAATAAATTCTGTAAAAATCTGGTGCTACCTTAATCCCACAAAGTAAACATGTGAACCTAAAAAGTCCTTTACTAGTGTTTATAGTTAACATTTTATGGAAGGCTTATTACCTAACTGTAACCATAAACATGCTTGACTTAAATTGCATTTTAAGAATCTTTCTCCACCAGAGAGGTTAGTAAAAATTTCTTCTATTCTATGAAGTGGGTAAGAATCGTCGAGTAAAGCTTTTATTAGCTGTTAAGTTGAAGTCAATATGCAATCTAACACATCCATTTTTCTTTACCCATAGATGCTATTAGTGCATTCCATTCAGTAGTGCTTGCTGGCTCCAAAATCCCCTTACTTGCTAATTTATCAATTTTTATTTTTTATCTTACCCTTTTGAGCAAATTGTAATGGTCTAGCCATACATAAAACAGATTTAGTTCACCTTTAAAGTAACTAAATAATCCTTTAAACATCCTATTACCTCTTTGAATAAAGAAGAAAATGCTGAGCATTGAGATTATCAACTTTTGATTACCAAGTATGCTTCAAGAGACCGAAGGAGAATTCTAATGTCCAAGCATCATCATGTTTAATTGTACCTAGGGAAGAATGTCAAGAAGATGAATGTCATGTTTTAATTAATTAACTGTATAGAAAGAAAACATGGAGGAATCCTCTATTGAAATTGTAGTTTTACACTGTAGGATAATAGTTATCATTTTTATAAATAAAGTACAGTACAAGAAATTTAGAATTGGGATGTTTACTTTGGATTGATAGAGGAGGCGTTATTCCAAAAAGATTACAAAAAATAGTTTTAGGGTTTACATGCTGTGCATTTTGGTGTGGTCAGAATGAAAATGATAGCTTTACAATGTGTGGTGACCAGAAACAGATGAACATATCAGTAGTAAAGTCATGTAAGGATACAGAAAGCTTCACCTTCAAAAGTAATAACAATGATCTTTGTTTAGTTTACCATAGGAAAGAAATCATTTGGACATTACAGGCCTATTCCAAAATAGATATTTAATCTTAGTAAATGGCTGGACATCATGATTTTAAATACTTCTGAACAATTAATTACTCAGTTGAGATGGGTCTTTCCAATTTTTAAACTCTGAACAGACGGATAGGGGCCATTTATTAATTACGTGTCGAAGGAGGAGGGGTTGTGAAGTCATTGTAAACAAGGGGGACGAGGCATTGTCTACTTGGATGTATTAATGGCAGTCTTGTAAGCCTATTTACTAATAGTATGAACAAATCAGAAAATATTTGCAAAACTTTGAGTCATTTCTTCAATATCAGGAGAGTCCACGAAATTCCAAAAGTACTGTACATTGCACACAACAGGGAAGGGGGTGGTCAGAAGGGACCCAAAAATTTACACACAACGAGCAAAAATTATCTATATATCTATATTTGGTTTAGGGCATCTGACGTCATCTTCTGACCTCAGGAACCCTCTCCAACTCTCTCTATCCATCTCTAATTCCATTTTCACTACTTTACTCTGTCCTACTAAGTTTGCCTAGGTCTTTCCTCTCTTTGTCTTTATGGAATGTATTCTATTGACATTTTCAAGAGTCTCTCATCATTCATTCTTTTCACAAGCCCAAATCAAATAAGTTGTTTCCTCTATATTTCCTCCAGAACTGTCTCCTTCAATCCTATTAGATCTTTGTTCCTTTCATTAGTTACTCTCTCTCTTTTCAACATTCTGCACGATCTTCTCAATGCATTCATTTCAACCATTGTTACTTTTCTCTTCCCTAGTCAATCTCCATGCCTCCGCCCCATATAATAGAATGCTTTTAACTATAGCATTATATATATATATATTTTTTTTTTCTTAATATAGTTATACTTTACTCCACCATATTCCATTTAATCTTTTAACTGTTCTCTTACCTTGTACTATTTTTGTATTAATTTCCAATGCATCTCTTCCCAGAATTTGCATTCCCAGATAATTGTAATGTTCACATCCCTCAATCTTTTCTCCTTCTTCCAGTTCCATGTCTGTTTTAGCCCCTCCTAAGCATAAATATTTTGTTTTACTCATGTTTATATATAAACCTTCTTTAAGCTATTCCTCTTTTATTTTTCTTGTATTCCAGATTATCTTTATCTTCTGCCATTACCACCTGATCATCTGCAAATTGCATATAATTCTTTAGCTGCTTTAATAAGTGTGTTGTTAATATTTATCTCTCTTAATGTCTCCCATGTTTTGATGTCGGGACATTATCATACGCCTTCGTTAAGTCTATAACCAACAAACGAGTTTCCTGTCCCGTTGCTAATTTTTTCTCCATAATCTGTTTTATACAGAAAATTATTGACATCATCACAATGCCGGGCTACAATTTTTAATCATATTCTGTCATATTCTTAATTTATTTAATTTAAAATATATGCTCTCGATCTCGGATTAGTAGTTTTGACCCTGTAGATCACATTTTTCCTGATAACAGTGTCACGCTGGTTATCTGAAATCCATTCTGGAAAACTTTTTGAATTGAAATCCACCTGGCTTCAGGTCTAGATCGGAAGTTCGTGTATAGTTAATCAGGGCCTCTTGCCCCTAAGCTTTCCGTATCTCATCTCGATTTTCGTCATGTAACACCGTTATCGAGATTAAGGAAGGACAGACAGACAGAGTGGAAATTTATAGGTCTACAATTTTTTCAAATTGTAGCCCAACGTCCGACTTTTTTAAGGAAACTATGAAAAAAATCAGTAACGATGGAAACTAGACTTTTGAAGTGATTCCTGATAACTGAAACGCGTGAAATGGCACATTGATCGAATAAAATCTTAGTTTTTTCCCAGAACACTAATATGTCAGCTTAGGAAATGGTAAATGAACAAGTATTAAATGGCGATGACACAAGAATCATGGATCAAGAAGAGATGGAGGATCAGCAGAGGAGAAGAATGAACCAGGATCAGGAGTAAATATTCATCGTCTGGATAAGGAACCGGCTAAATATCGAGATTATGACCTTTCGTGATGAGGGGAGGAGTTGTAGAGTATCGAGAAAGAATACTTCGGGTTCGACGTAGTGTAAAAATGGCGCCCAGTTTCGTTTGAATAATTTATCTGTATGATATCGAGGAAAAGTGTAGTTTGTTGGACGATATTTGGAGAATATTAAAGGACGGTATTAAGGAATCCTCAGCGGAAATACTGCATAAATCGTAGTGCCATTCTAATGCGTTAATTTGTAGTGGCGAAACTCGAGATGCAGCCGTCACTTCGTACTGAGTTGCTGTCTACAGTAAAGAAAACAACAAGCGAAGAGCTACATAATAAATACATCTCTTCTTGTGTTATAGAGAGTTATATGAATCTAGCCTTCAGAATCACGGCCAAGACTTATACCAAGCGAGCATGGTGCAGGTCTTGGCCGTGATTCCGGTTTCTATTTTAGCTTTGCACGAGCTTTAGCCAAGAGTTTAATTTTTAATTACAGAATTTTGAGATACGGCGGATACAGAAGTCATTTTAAACTTATATAAAGTAATAGAAATGATTCGTTTGGTTATGTGATCATCATACGTGATTCTGGCATTATTTTTCGGATATATTAAATGTTAACTAACATACTACTCCATAGTTAGTGAAATATTGATATATCCTATACTATAGAGGAGAAGGTGGTATTATGGAACCCCATTTTCATTATAGTGAATTGTAAACAAGGTATCATAACTACACCCACAAAAAATTTTTTGTGCGAAAAGTACCGGTAACTGTTAAACTAAATGTTCCTAATTGGATTTTTCGCTAGTGTAACTATAAGTATGGTTTTTGAAGGCTTTTGTACAAAAAGTCCGAAAGTAGGCTTAGGGAAAACCGGGTGGTAATATGGAACCTTACTGTATGTTTCCAAAAAATGCTTTAATGCTGTATGCTACAAAAAAACAAACAAAAATAGGAAAGTACAAAGAATGTTAAATAATTACAAAATTATTTACTCCAATGTATTTTATCGCAAAAATGATTTAATAATAATAAAGAAATGTACAAAGAAAATCATTTACAAATATCAAATATACTGTATACAGTATATTTGATTTTTCTCTGGAACGGAATACGTGCACCGGTGAACCTACAACTACACGATTTATATTTCAGAAATAATTAAATTCGCTTAGCATTCAAAACTTTCGAATTTCGAAAAACACAAATATGCTAATTCACTACGGACAACCGTTTAACTGAAGCGAAACTGGTTTTCTCCTCGCTACGGATGTCTGCCTAGTGCGGTTCGGCCACAATCCGCTACAGTTCTCCTTTATCATCGGTTTGAAATGGAGAGGTTTCGTAATATCTGCAGGGTTCCATAATACCACCTTCTCCCTTATAACATACAGTATTGTTATTAATTCTGATAATGCATTTTATTTTTAACTCTCCGCCCTGTGAGCACTAAGATCTTTTTCCAAGCCCATCATGGGTTCGGCCAAGCACACTCTGGGGCAGCCGGATTGTGGGAACCAGGCCCGACTGCCCGTGACCATAAAGTTCGTGACAAAATATTCCTGAAATTTTTTACCCGAATTCGATCCCGGATTCCTCATAGTGGCAGGCTGACGCTTTTACTGCTTCCCCTCCACTACACACACACTGTGTAAAAACACAGTGGGAAGGTGGTGCAAGATGGGGTCATGGGGTAAGACGGGGACGTCTGTTTATTTGTGGTTAATATGACTTTATCTAGCTGTTATTTGGGGAACTAAATGTCAACCTCAAAAGGGACCACGGGGCAAGAGAACGTCCGAGTCGCTCTCTTTGTTTGGAAGCAAGACGTTTTCCATGTTTCAGCAGTACTTCATCTAATTTTATGCCTGCTACAAAGTTAATACAAAGTAAGCGTCATTGTGTACTTTTACATTACTTTTTAAATGAACATATTCTGGTATTCTAAGTAACCTTTAAGACTCTAATTGTTTAGTTTTAAAATGAAGTTTACCTGTGTTTGCAGTCAGTATGAAAAGTGTACGTTAGGAACAAGATGGGGTACCCGTCTAGCCCCAGGTTGACCATGAATATGGCCTATGAATCCAGAAGTATTTTTGGAGGCAGACTTTATTGTTACAGAGACGACAAACAGGGCCCTTCAGCGAGGGTAGGCTTAACAAGAAACAAAAGACAAATGACACAGAATGCTTCTCTTGTGGAGGGTTATACTCTGTATCTACAGAGAGTTGGGCTAAATGTAGCCGTTGTGATAAATGGAAGCACTGTTCTTGCGCCAATATCGAAGAAAACGACAGTTTGGCCATTTTAATTTGTCCTTCTTGTATATAAAAGTAAGTGCATTTACATATAATTTTAAAATATTAAATTTTCTTGTTTTTAAAAACGTTTTTCAAAAATTAAATTTTGTATTATATATTACCACATATTGTAGTTGCTGAGAATAAAAAATTATTGTTTTCATCAAAGTAGTTGCCATCTTATGACTTTTCAAACCTTAACGTTCTCATCTTGCCCCACCTCCCCCTACTTATGATAGCTGCTGAACCTGATCTGTTTCATCGGTTTTGATGTCATTGCAATCCCAATCCCATTCTCCGTCAGGGCTATATCAGTTTCGTTATTTCCAGCCATAGTGATGCAAAAGATAACAACTCTTCCCTTAGCTTTTGCTTATCGAGTGATGGCATTCATTCGCACACTTTCCCAAGAACCCCACAGCCTGTAACTTAAAACAATTACATGAAATTTTATCATTGTTGCTTGGAAAAGTTAGAACTTGGGAAAGCCCTTAAGGTCAATAGAAGAGGCTTTTCTGGGAATTTCCGAAGTCCCGAAGGACCAGTACGCCTGATAGTTATATGAAATTTAACATTGTTGAAAATTGCAATTAGAAAAGTGTGTATAAAGTTATCACCACCAAATTAAACAGTAAATTTTGAATCCTTTATACCTTTTACGAAAGTATTGTTTCTTCTTTAACAACTGTAACAAAATTCTCCAAAACGGCATGAAAACAATCACCTTAATACTATAAAACTTCAGAAAATATTAGAAAAATTTCTTTCTTATGTTTTGAACTACAGATACTATACAAATAAAAAATATATCACAAACGTTACCACTTTATCACAGTAAATGCTAGGAAGATATGTGCTACTTGTATATAAATATAAGCCATTATTTTTGCGGTTATTTTTTAGCACTTGGAGGAGCCATAAAGAAAAGTTACTCGATGTATTTTTTCCTGGAAAAATTCAAAAATGAGATTAACTGCTGAAACAACATTACTTTTTTGTGCAAGAAGTTTGTTATTTATACACTTGCAAGGAAAACTTCCAACTCGCAAACAAAAATAATGTTCAACCACGCAAAATTTACGGGTGTCCGAAAAGTCTGGAACGAATAAAATTCATACTACGTATGCTTTATTTTATATTAATTTATAACTGTGCTTCACAAACTTTTTAGGTCGCTGTACGACGTTCTTTAGAATCTTTTCTTTTCAGTAGGTTGCGGTTTATATGGGGCGTCGTGGCTATTCGCCTTTTACTCCGAGAGACTTGTGGTTGATCGCTAGGCGACCGAAGAGCTGGCCTTATAGAACGGCTAAACGTGCTCGGGGGAAAAGAATGCCTTACGGGAGGACTTTTATGGGAAACTGGCCACTATTCAGGCGTCATCGATATGGAGAAAACCCGGAAAACTCTATGCTCCCAGCCCGTCCGAGCGAGACGCGAACCCACGACCGAACTCCAGTGTTCAGTCCACTCAAGTGCGAGGATGAAGACCGCTCGGCCACTGGTGAGTCATTCGTCCGAGCGAGGCGCGAACCCGGACCGAACGCCTAGTGTTTAGGGACTGATCCACGCAGGGAGCGAAGACGGAGTCCACTCGGCCACGGGGGAACTCAGAACATTTTCTGTATATTGGAATCAACAACAACAAACTCATCAGTAAGTCTTTCCCAAAGATGGTGAGATCTCGAAGTTTTATAGCATATACCTGTGACTTCACGAGTAATTCAATTAAAAATTCGATCGAATGATGGCTGTCTTAGAGAAATCATACAGTCATTGATATGTGAAAGAATCTCATTCATTACATATATCCAGTGGTGATATTCAGAGGGTTCGCACAGGTTCGGCCGAACCCGTTGTTAACATTTTCAAAGTTTTTCGAACCTTGTTAAACACATGTAACATTTCTTAATGGTTTGATTCTTTTAAAAATATTGAAATATTGAAATATTATACTCTGTAACACTACTAAACTAGAGCCTTCCGATGCACCATTTGAGCGAAAAAAAAAAAATTGTTAAGGAAAAATTTTCTGTTAGCGAACCCTTTGTTAAATATTTCGAATGTCATCACTGCATATATCACATTCTTACATATATCTTTAACGATTTGGCACATACAGTAGCTATAGTAGCCTATCATGACTGGAACAAAAGTTAAAACAGAGAAGTTTAATAAAACGGAAAGCAAATATTTTAACGAATCTTAGTAAAGGAAGAAAGGTATGCGTACTGTACGTAAAAGTGTATCTCATTGGTCAAGATTTATGACGTTTCGAAACTGAACTGGTTAGTGTGCATGCACCTGCCATTTTGCCGTCCGCCCATTAAGTCTGGTGGATGGTTTCGACTGGTGTGACAGTCCTAGTACAGGAGTTGACAACTCTTGGCACGTGGCACATCAATGACTTTTTTCCGGCACGGTACCCAGGGCGCATGTTAAAAAATAAATATCCAACAGCTTTTTATATATTTCATGTTCCGTAAAAATGTATCGGTTTTATAAAGTGAATATACACTCGACCTTCCCTATAACCTGGTAGATACGTTCCACTTTATAAGAATTTCACGTTGTAGGAATCCTTAAATACATGAGCCAATCACAGCCCGGCACGTGTGCAGTTTACGGACTACGGCTGTTTAAAAGGTTTTCTTCCATAAAATTAATC